ATTCGTTAATGATAAGAGAAAAAAAAAAATCATTCACATACATTGCTCTTTGTTTTTCCATCATCATCACTAACTAAAACCAAAAATTAAACTAAACCAATCTCAAAAGAGAACTAGTCAAACCAAACCAGTACAAACCAAACCACTCAAACCAATACCAATTACATGTCAAACTAAACCAACAAATCCTATCACTGATCTTCAGAAACATCGCAGATAGTTGTGGTGGTGGTTGTTATGGTTGATGTGTCCTTTACCGTGACTGTGACGGTGATAAGTCTCCTCGTCGATGATCTCCTGAACATGCTTAAACTCATCGACATGGCAAGGAATAGTAATCGGACCGGAGTGTTTGAATCCGTACTCTTCTTCCGAGTCTTTCAAGAGTCCCAAGAACAGAGGATGGCTCAAGAACATCAATGGAACCACGAATCTGTGTAGACCTTCTTCATCTCCTTCGTGTCCCACCATGACCGCAACACAGCCTTGTGGAACATGATGATGATGATGGTTATGATGATGAAGTATTGTGGAGATGTGGAACGTGAAAGTGAAACTTGTTGATATGTAATATCACACTAAGGGGTAAAACAATAATATTTGAATCAAAAGTCTCGTTTTATTAGAAGATAGTTCAGAAAAATACAACTTGAGTTAAGGTCGTCGTAGTTTCGACGACCTCGTTAACAAAGGGAGAACTCGAAATAAAGTTGGCGATCTCAAAGTCTTTCAAAGGTCTCTCTCTGCTGTTGATTTGCGGATGCCTCGAATGAGTGAAGTTCTTCCCTATTTATACGAATTCTAAGGTGGTTTGAGAAGAACTTTCTTTTTCCTTCTCGATATGGGATTTAACATTTTCTTCCCCGATATTTCTGGAAATCCTCCGTGAAATTCGGGAAAGTCGGCCAATTTCGTAAATTGGACTTTAATGGGCCTTCTAGAAAGTCATACGTTGGCCCAGCCGATTTAACCTCGATTCCAATCTTCGTAAACCGAGGTCTCTTCGGACCGGTCTCGATTAATACCGAGTTAAACCGGGGGTGCGAAGTACACCACCAACAAAACTTGAACACCATCTGCTTGCTCTGTTTTGGGCTCGGTTTCTGTTCTTGTTCTTCAAAACCCATTAAAACAGCTATCGAGAAACACGACGATTGATTGAAACGATCAACGAAGGAGATAGGAAGTAAAAAAAAAAAAAAAAACCCGCTGGTTTTGAAGGTTTTTTCAACAAGGTTGATGTCTTAAAGACGGCAATAGAAAAGGGCAAGGAGGCAAGGATCGACAACAGAAGAGATAATGAGAAGAAATATAGAAAGAGATGAGTCGGTGAGATATCTGAGGATGTTGCTCATGCTAGGCTAACATATATTTATACAGAGAAAGGTATTACATTTTTCCTTCTTTGAGGAGATTAAGAGGATTTTGGAAAGGGAGATCTAAGCGTGTATATCTGTATATATATACACACTGGTCTAGAGTTTCGCTTCACCGGGCACACTGCAAATCTTTTTCTCCGATTTTATATTTGGGTTTATTTTCTTTAATTATTTAATGACCTCAATTGACGTGGTAAAGATTGCACAAGGGTTAGGGTTTACCGACTGAGACTAGTTACAATGGTTGTTTATTCAACTGTTGAATAATTTATTCAACTGATGACTCTTCACAATGATGTGTTGAATAAAAAAGAAAGATGATGTGGATTCAAAACTGTTGAAAAGATTCAACAAGCGTGGAAAAAATTGTGGAGTATTCTTATGACACATGTTCAATTATTATTGGTTGCTGAGATTCTTGATATTTTTCCATTCCCTCCAATCATTCAATATCAATTATTTTTTTAAAAAAATATATATTTGATTTAAATTTTTTTATATCAAAATTCATCATTTTTCAAGATCTATAAATAGAAACTTGTTTCATTTCATTTGGATACAGAAAAAAACCATATTTTTTAAATATATTTAGTCTCCAAAAACTCTTATTTATTTCTATTTTTATTTTTTATTATTATTTTTTAAAATTAAAATGTAAAATAAAAAGAAATGTTTTTCAGATTTTTTAAAAAAATTTTAAGTATTTAATTTAATTTTATTAAAATTATTATTAACTTTTATTATAAAAGATATAAAAATATAAAATAAAAGTAATGGGTTAGAGTGTTGAATTTTTTATTAAACAAAATCATTGTAAGTATAAAAGTTGAATCGTGTGTTGGATGATTAGGTGGAAGAGAGAGAAGATGATGTGTAGTGTTAAAAGAGAAAAAAGAAGGTATTGAAAAAGAAAACCATTGTATATAGTCTAAAGAGGCTTTAATGTTTTGAATTTGTTGTATATAGAAATATAAAAAAAGACCAGAGTTTTGAACAGTCAAATATCATTTTTTTAACTAGGTGGTAGTGGGATGGCTCCCTTCTAGTAGAAGATTCGACTCTGTAGGTCTACGCCAAAGATCGGAGTCTTTCTAGATGTGGAATTGTCATATTATTAACTTTTGGTCATCCAACCATATGAGCTGCTACTGAGCTTACATGAAAAGGATGTTGGACCTAAGGGGGATTAGTATGGGTCTGAAGGACCTGGGATTTACCTCTGGATATCAAAAAAAATATATATATCATTTTTATGTTTTCTATCTATCTATATACTTATTTGTGTAGTGATTTACTTACGTGTTGCGCTCACAGCGAGTTTCACAACCTTTCGCTTACGTGTCAGCTCCAGAATAAGTTTTGGCTGCAAAAAGACTGTTTAGCCCTATTAAACAATTATGTGTTATTTTTTAATTAGTTTTTAACTGATGATGTGTAAAAAAACTTAAAACAAACAGGTCTAAATTATTGTGGTTTAATACTTAATTCTATGGTCAACCAAACCGTTTTAAAAAATTTATAAAACCGAAATTTACAAAAATTAAACAAAAACGTTTTTCGAAAAAAAATTAAAAAAATGAATCTTCTATATCTTTTAGTGTTAACCATTTTTTATGTTTTCAAAATTTAGAAAAAAAAAATATAACAAAAATGTTAAAAAAAAAAAATCTATTTAAAAAGCTATAGAATGTCGTTTCAAAATAAATAAATAAAAACAAAATTTTATGCTAGAATATCGCTAAATATTGTAATGTTTACGATTTCTTAAGTTTATAAGTTTTCGATTCTTATGATTTAGTATGATTTCCGAGAAAATTTTAGTAGATTAATATGGATTTTTATGTTAAAAATACAAAAATAAGGATCATTTCTAAATCTTATATGAATTTCTAAATCAATTAAAACACATAAACGAATAACAACCTCTTAGTCTATGAAATTAAAAACTAATTTAATAAACACAACTCTTGCTTTTAGATTCATGATAACTTTAATTTTGAAACAAAAAAATTAGATGTATACGAAATGAATTTAAAACTAATTTAAAATCACAAAAGATCAATGAATTAAATATATTATTTGCCAATTTTATCTTGAAAAGGTAAAGACCATATTTTTTCTGGTAACATATTGGTGGGGTAACTTTAAATGATTTTTCAATTATTATATCACTTCTTTCAATAAACTTGTATAAGTTTTTTTCATCATATTCAGTTTCATTCTCATGATATATGTTTTATAAATCTTCAATATAATTTCTTCAAGAAGACAATTATGTGGGCCAATTCTTGTGAAATCTTCATTTAGCCATGCTTCACTATAAAATCTGCCACATACAAAAACATATTATATACTTATGTCACGTGGCAAAGAAATTAACAAAATAAAATAAAACATATCGTTTAAGATTATATTTTTTGGGTTTAAACAGTGAGCTAGACAATGTAAGATTATATTTTTTGGGTTTAAACAGTGAGCTAGACAATGTAAGATTATATTTTTTGGGTTTAAACTGTGCCCAGCGAGACACTAAGATCCCATAAACCATTCAGGCACAATGTTTTTATTTCCTAGTAAATCTTAAGATTCACCTTCTCAATCACGAATCCAGTATTATATATATCAAGTGAAGGTACGGCTTGTCAGTATCACAAAATCTAATCATCTCATATATAGCCATATAGGCCTTATGAAATTAATAATATAAGACACATCTTCCCACCAATCATCATTCACAATATTCTCTTTCATTAAGTTTGGTTTACCTATGTCATCGTCTCTAATGAATAGACCACTCATCACTTTTGACCATGGCTTTAAGGGCCCTTTTGATAAATTTCATCTTCTTAAGCATCACTATTCACAACGATGGAAGTAAATTGAGTATCAATAACCAAAAGTAACTTAAGAGGAGAGAACTTACTGAAGATTGCTAGTCTCATGTTATGGTTCATGGTGAAATGTTTGATTAGATTGCAAGAACATCCCCATGAATTACTGTTATCCAGTTGCACTCCTCATATTTTGTTTTGCATTTGTTTCCACATTCTTTGCTGCGTAAACGTTTTTTAAAGAGAGATTAAGAGTATGAACAACACATAGTGTCCAATAGATATGAGTTGCTCTGCGCTTTCGGATATCCGGTTCGGTTCCGGGTCGGATCCGAAATGTTTCGGGTATTTTGGTTCTCAAGGTTTGGAACCAAATAGGTACCGAAATAATTTCGGTTCGATTCCGGTTCGGTACCTGTCGGTTTCGGATCGGTTCGGATATTAAAGTTTAGAACCGTAAATTACCCGAAAATTTCGGTTCTCTAAATTTTTGGTTCCTAAACCGGGTAAACTACCCGAAATCAGCAAAATTGTATCCGAAATCACAAAAAAAACCGTCAAAGAGAAGTTCCAAACTTAAAAGAGAAGTTCATACATAAACTAAAAACAAGTTATGCATCATCCTAAACCAAGTTCATACAACAACAAGTGCCGAATCAATAACCAAACTAAAAACAAGTTCTGAAGAGTAGAAGTGCTGAATCAATAACATTGTCTAAATTCAGACTCAATGAGAAATGGAAACAGACATAGAAGAGTAGAAGCGAGAGATGCAACTCCTGAAAGATGACCTGCGACTCCTAAACCCTGCAAAAAAAGAAAAACATGAAACGATCAGATAGTGGAATGACAAGTGAAAAAGAAAAACATCATACTATCTGATCTAAACGTGGACTTCTTACCAGATTTATGTCATTGTTCATCATTGACTCCTTAGTCTTCAATATTTAATTCTCCAAACTCTGTATGAACATTCCAATGACAATAAGTACTTAAAGAAGTCAACAATAAAACAAAAAAAATCGAGTAGACAGTTTACCTTTCTGAAGATCATCCTGGTCTTCAACATCATCAAGGAGCTGTTCAATGGTTATAGTCCCTTTGCTATCCATACGAATCTCCCTCTTCAGCCATTGCTCTGTACACATCAACACTTCTAAAGCGTAGTGTGTCAAGCAACTTCTCGAAGGATCCAATATGTGACCACTAGTGCTGAAAGCAGACTCAGATGCAACTGATGAAATTTGCATTGCTAGGACATCTTTAGCCACTTGTGATAGAACTGGAAATTTTAGGCTATTAACTTTCCACCATGATAGAACATCATACTCTGTTCCTTCGAAAATGTGTGGATTTTCCACATTCTCGGACAGATACAACTCAAGCTCAGTAGAAACTTCTTGAAATCCGGTTTCTTGCACCAGCTCCATGTAAACCAGATCCATTCTCTCATAACGTGTTCGACCAGCTAATTCCATTCTGCGGTTTCTGCTTCTACCTAACTCTTGAGACCGAGGCTGAGATGATGATCCACTTGCTTGTGTCGGATCAGAAGTAGCAGAAGTTGATGCATTTGAGGTTCTGTTCAAGGAACTACCAATCTTACCATTATACTCTTCAAACAACATCTTCAGAATTTCCATGACCGAATCATACATTTCATTAGCAACCATACTATCTGGTCCATATAGCTTCTCAAAACAAAGCTTAGCAAACTTCATTTTGTTCCTTGGGTCGAACACACTAGCCACTATCAACATCCTATTCATTTCTGTTTCAAACCCAAATGGATTCCAATACTTCCCTAACTTAGACATCATATCATCGGCTTTCTCCTTCAACTCAGTATCAGGATCAAGGGTCAATAAGACTAAGTTTCTTTCTATGGTCAATATCTCATTATAACACTTATGTGCACGAGGTGAATTAGTAGCAGAAAGCACTAACGTAGCATTGTAGAAGATGATGAGGAAGTTTAGAAACCTGTCTATCTCGTCCCAATCTTCTTGAACAGGAGGTCCAATCCTCTTCGTCCCATCCACTCTCTCTTTAAAGTAGTCATTATACAGCTTGTCCTCAGCAACCATCTTCTCAAATGCAAGCCTGAAGTCCATAGCCCTACTCAACATTAGATATGTCGAGTTCCACCTGGTCTTGCAATCGAGAGACAGACTCCCCCTTGTCATCTTTGCAGTGTCAACCCGCAGCTCAAAAGACATCTGCCTTGGTGTTGAAGACCTCACAAAGCCCACACCATTCCGAATGGCACAGACATGCTTGTCCAGATCGTGCAGTCCATCTCTCACTATGAGATTGATAATGTGAGTACTACACCGTACGTGTAAGTACTCACCACCGAGAACCAGAGAATCTGCTCCAACTTGAGTAAATTGTTGCTTAAATCTTCCAATGGCAGAGGAGTTGGCTGTTGCATTGTCAACTGTGATGCAAAAGACTTTCTTGATCTCCCAATCAGCTAAACAATCTATAAGAGCAGCATAAATTTTTTTTCCTTTGTGATCACAAACATGCTTGAATCCGATGATCAAATGCTTCAACTGCCAATCTCGGTCAATGAAGTGGGCAGTGATTACCATGTAGCTAGAGTTGGTGGTGGGAGCTGTCCATATATCAGTGGTCAGGGACAATCTCTGCTTGCGATCGCCAAGCACCTTCTTCATCAGTGTCTTCTTCCTCACAAGCATCTCGTAGATGTCCCTTGTAGATGTTCTCCGAGATACAGGCTTGCACAATTTCACTATGTTGCAAAAATGCCTCCAAGCCAAGCATTCCACGAACGAAAGAGGCAACTCACCTATCACTATCATCTCATTCGTAGCCTCTCTCACCACAGCATCAGATACTCTACAAAGCTTCATACCATCAGGATCTAGTTGCTCTTGATTCGAATTCTTTGCTGCAGCCCACCGCATGATGCTGCTTACAGAAGAAAAAGATGCTTCCTCCAGATTGGAGGTGCCGGATGATGATGCACCATGCCATTGACTTCCCACAGTAATGACAATTACACTTGTCATAGTTCGCCTTCGTTCTTGTGTAGTGGTCCCAAACAAATGATCTTGTTCTTTTTTTTCCCTTAGCAGTAACCTTCTTTTTCCCTTTCCCTTTACTTGCAGAAGTAGGCGTAGGAGTCTCAGCTTCATCCTCTGTCACCTCTAACTCATCATCCATATCAATATCAGGATCTTCATTCATGTTCGAGTCTTCTGGATTTGAATCCATCTGCAGTGTTTTATGTGATTCGAAGAATAAGGTTTCTTTATTCTTACTTAACAATATTACACTACCAACACAAGCAAATCATAACTCATATGCAACTTCACATATCCGACATTCACCTAATGAAACTAATAAAACATAACTACCATTCACGATTACATTCACCTAAGCTAACCAGATTCTACTTGAACATTCACGAAATAACAATTCACAAAGCCAAAGATTCACGATAACATTCACCTAAGCTAACCAGAACATTCACGAAATAACAATGCAGAAAGGCTAATGACTATTTCATTTAAGAAGAAATTTTAACACAAACACAAAAAAAAACAAAGGCAAATGAACTCTATTTGTTAAATAAAGGTAAAGAAAAGACTAATCCCCAAATCAATTTCATATTTTTGCACTGAAAACCTTAAATCCCCAAATCGATTTCATTTTTTTTAAAAAAACCCCTAAATCCGATTTCCAAGAGAGTGATGACAAATTCATAGTATAAACGTCCAAATAGATGATTACATGAACTCAATTTGATATTTTCGCAACCAAAAACCCTAATCCCCAAATCGATTTCATTTTTAAAAAAAACCCTAAATCCGATTTCGAGAAGAGTGATGAGAAATTCGTAGTATAGACGTCGAAATAGATGATTAAATGAACTCAATTACATATTTTCGCAACCAAAAACCCGAATCCCCAAATCGATTTCATTTTTTTTAAAAATCCTAAAATCGATTTCATCATTATTCAAACGATTTTCAAGTATATGTTGACAATTTCATAGTGGAAACGTAAAAAAAAATGATGAAATGAACTCATTTCATCATGATTCAAACGAAAACCGTAAACCCCAAACCGATTTCATTTTTTAAAACCCTAAATTCGATTTGGGGATTACAATAAGAGAAGAGGAAGATACTTACCTCTGGCTGGTTTATGGATGCAAAAGACGGTGGAGCCGGCGACACGCGACGGCTGTTCGGATTTGCAGATTCCAGCTTGGTGAATCAGCGGATCGGGTCGTGTTTCAGAGATGAAAGAGATTAGGTTTTTGTGTAGTCTCGATTTCTTTCTCTTTTTGGGTTTAGAAATTTTTGTAGCTTTTGTTGTTTTCTTTTTTTTTTCCAATTTTGGATATTGGGTTTGAATTCAATTAAAGCATAGTCCCTTTATTTCTTTTCAATTTGGTAAAGCCCACAAATTTCCCACAAATTAAAACCTAATTAAAATCGAGAAAGCCCATCAAAATTATGTTTCAGATATTCGGTTCGGATATTCGGTTATCGAGTAAGAACCGGAACCGATCCGATATCCGTGGATCTTCAAACCAGGATCCAATAGATATTAATCTCAAATCCAAAACCGAACCAAACCGGTTATTTCGGGTCGGTTCCGGTTTGGGTATCGGTTCCGGTTTTTATGCCCAGGGCGAGATATGAGGATGCGTACTCTCAGTAAACTCTTCAGCTGCACAACGTTTTGATGCCTTACTTCATTTATAATTTCTTTCATCAAATTAGCAATGAAGAATTTATCTTTCATTTGACCAAAACAATTCACGAAGAGACTGGTCTGAAATAAAACCAAATCAATAATAGAAGGACTCATCAAATCAACACAAGAAACTGGTCTATAAACTACTAGTCACAAAGCAAACATAAAACAAAAACACCGCCATTTGATTCCATCGATTGGAAGTGCTCTCACTACAAATAAAAACAATCAATTTCTGACTACCAAATCTGTCAGAAATTCGTCAGAAACAGCTCAGACGGATTTGAAACTCTCGGTTCAAAGCTCGTCGAAAATTAATATCTGTCGGAAATATGTCAGTAATTTCTAACGGACTCAATCCGTCAATATTTTGTCAGAGATTTTTGAAGAATTTTCTACAAATTTTTCACAAAATTTTCTGATTGATTTCCAACAGGTATTAATTTTTGACGGATTTTTTAAGGACAATTTCCAACGATTTTTGTCGGATTTTGAAAGAACTAAAAAAAAGTGATATTAAACTGAAATTCAATATTTAATGAAAATTGATATACAAAATATTATATAAATAAAAATACTTAAATTCAATCTATTAAATAAAAGTCTTAATTATCAAACATAAATACAACATTTTTTTACTAAGATCATAAATACAACATATAAATTAAAAATGATCAGACATATAAATTCCAAAGAATGTAATTATCATTTGTTGAGTTTCTTTACCACGATGAATCTCGCCAACTTTTTCTATATCTAGATTCAGATTCAAAATTATCGAGAAAAACTCAGAGACAGACATTGCCTTCGACCCACACAGTTTACATAGTCACATCCAAAATTGGGCACTTTCATCAAATGTGAGTTTAAAAGTCTTGTTCTATACAAAATATAAACAGTTATACACACATTTACATACTTCGTTTTTACAACTTGGAATCGTAACCACAGATCAGACATAGCGATTCCGTAGATAAGACTTACATTGATCTTAGTCGATATATTGAGAGAGCCATTTGAATCCTTCGCTGTAGCCCATCTTCCTTACAATGCTGCACATGAACACCTAAAGGGGACAAACATTGGTTCCTGCTAGATTCACTTTACCTTTCCCGGTGGTGAAATTAGTTAGGCCTGGATGATAACGCAGCTCTTCTTTTGATGCAGCATAGGGCAAGTCGATTTTTTTTCCAAGAACGAGGAACGAGACATTTGCTAGGGATTCATCTGAAAGAAGTCCGTCAAGTTCCTTCTTTGAAATAGACCACATGGTCCATGAAAGCCTATATATTGTAAGAGAGCCTAATGAGTGTCCTAGGATCTCACCCAAAGAAAGTATCATATTGATAACACCGTATATTGATAACATCGTATTTTGACCACTTTTATGGATCGTTTTTAGATACTTTTTCAATGCTTTTTATTTTTTTAAGTGTTTTTATTATGATTTTCTAGTATTTGTAGTTTCAAGACTCTTTTCACGAAACTTAGAAAAAAAACTTAGTAAAATAGATAGAAGACCAGATTTTCAGCTCAGAGTCAAACCACCAGAAGTTCACCATCAAATAAAAACATTTTCACCGTCCAATCCAGCTCAAATTTGGAGACCTTAAAGATGGAACAATCAGCTTTCCAGCACATTTGATATCAAGACAATCCAACGGTTCAATTAAAAGTTACGCGAAGAGCAAGATGTCCTGTCAACCAGCCGGCAAGCAATGCTAACCGCAGCCAGCACCCAATTTACACCGGTCACGTCTCTTCTGACCGCGGAGAATGGTCTATTCGGCCTAGAAGCCCATTTCCAAGCCCAAATCGATTCCTTCATTTGAAGAAACCCTAAGTGACGCCCATAAATGACTTGAGCACTATAATACATGTTTTAGGAACCCTAGAACGTATGTTCTTTATGCTTTTATACTCTTTTATGTTTTTGAATCCCTTTTACGTTTGTAGTTGTTTCGGGAGATAGAGATCTATTTCTTGAACCCTTTTTGTTTATTCTTCATATCGATTTCAGTACAACTTTTCAATACAATGTTTTTGCTTTCTTTAATCATGTCTGAGTAGTTCTATTGTTAGGTTTAAGGGAATTTTCGATGGGGACCATATATGTTCGATGAGGATTCCATTAGCTATTAAAACTGAATCCTAGAACTTTTTCTTCTAAACTGATTTTTAATGCATGGGAGTAGTGTCATGAACTATAATCTGATTTAGGTTCGTAATGTTGCAAAAGTTTTCATTAGTAGCCAGATCTAGTTTGAGAAAAGCAATTCTTCCATAGGAGTGGAAACCTACCTATAGATGAGCTGTGAATGTTGACGAGTCTTAAGCAAGCTTGCATCTTTTCCCTTCCGGGGCCAGAATAGAAACATACTGGTCAAGGTTGCGAGAGATATACTTGGTTATGATCACGAGAGTGACGTAGTCATACGTTCGTGACTCGAGCTAAGATATTTTAATTACTTTTTAGCAATATTTTTGAAACGTTTATCCCTAGAGACAATTTTGCTGAAAACCTAGCGTCTCGTCTTTATAAGTTTACACAGATTTTCATTCAAAATTTTAGTCATTAGGTTATTTTTCATTTCCAGCCGATTTTCATTCGAGTTTTAGATTAGATTTTCTTTAGTTTTTCCAGCCGATTTTCTTAAATACTTTTCCTTTTTTCCTTTAGTTTAGAATTTACATTTTAGTGACAACCCAAAACCTCTTTAAATTTCGACCAGTTCTAAACTTCCTTACTTCATATTTCTTTCAAAAGCTTTTGAAGAAAATTATTATTTTTCCCTGTGGATTCGATTTCTAAGTACTACAATCGATTAGCTGTGCACTTGCGGCTTTATTGATTTCTATTAAGGTAAAACTTGTTCCCGCACACAACACCACATCACATATTCGTTGTCAATTATTTTTGTTCGCAGTTAGTGACTAGCAAATCCATGCAATTTGAGTTCAGTGACCCCTTGTCACCTAGGCGGAAAGAGAGAAATTACTCACGGGTTTAAAGGTGACATCAGCAATGCCAACATATGTTACATCGTATTTTTGGTTACCCAAACTTATAACTACAAAATTAACTAGTGTAATGGCGTTGTTCTGGTAGATTTCAAATAGCCAACAAAAAAATGCATTAGTTTGCGTAAAAAAAATTATGTTACAGTAAATCAGATAGGGAATTGCCTTTCAAACAGTAGATGTCTTTAATACTACTTATGTCAAAACAATTATAATATCTATGGACAAACTGGATTTATTGTTTGTGTGATTTTTTAAGGGTTGATATTTTTGAATAATAGACCCCTTCGATTCTATATGGTATTACTCCCATCATATGGATAGAGGAGCATTATATCGGCTAACCTATAGTTAAAAAAGGACTAGTAAAAAAAGTTGGTTCAGGTTGTTCTATTTTAGTATAGAATAATCTTTAAATACCATCTATTCGCCGAGGTCAACAACATGTAGAGGACATAATTATTACCCAAATCTTATGGTCAATATATCATCTGATTGGCCCAGTGACAAATATGTAGAATGGAGGATTGATAAACGCAGTTATTAACTCGAATGATATGAAAATTATTCATAGCATGCCTATAAAATAATTATAGACCAGATACACTCAGATGAAACTTAACAAAATGATGTAGGCACCAGGGGTGATGCTACAAGAGTGGTGAGATGGAGTGCAACAATTGGCCGATGGGCTCGCCTTGTATGCACTAAGAGATGATGATATGGAGATGGATCGAGATGAGGCAAAGATAATTGGCTGATGGGCTCTCCTTATCTTCACAAAGTAATGAGATGGAAAGTGAAACGAGTGATGGAGTGAATCGATGCCACAAAGCTTATGGGCTAGATTTGATAAGTCAAGTTGAATCCAAAGAGAAAGGGGAAACCACACAAACTCCGAAAATAAGCATAAAGCTTAAAACTAGAGAACTCTCATATCTTAATTCATTTTCAAGTCTGTCTATTACAAATGAAATGAGTGAGCTTATAAAGAAGTCTCACACGTTTTTACAAAAAGAAAAAGTCAAATAATTTACATAAATTAGAAATCAATCAAAGGTTTGATTGATATAGCCTTTATTGCTTGAGTTTTGGTCAAATGTGGAAAATGTGAAGGTTCCTTGTATCTGGACAATTTGGGCATAAAGAAATAACGCCTTGGAGGTCTCTTTATGGTGTGGAATGTGTCCAAACGAGCTGGGTCGAATAAATCAAGGTGATATACCTGTTTGACCATATTTACTCTAATTGGCGTCGGATATAGAAAGTTGAGGTGTGGAGAGATCCACTTGATATCCTGCGTGTTGGTGCACCTTAAGACACTTCTAGGAGCTTCTAAATGTAGTTCAAACACTCCTGGACGCCAAAGATACGTTTCAAGCCTCCCAAACTTGGAAGGTTCCAAATAAGGCAACTCGGAAATGGTTTGGTTTAGAAATTGAATATCTTCCCAACCAAAACCAATCTTGGTATGATTCCAATTTTCCCATATTCTCTGATTAACCAAGATTGTAGAACAAGTCAGTTTGAAGCTTAATTCCTCCTGGTTTGGTCGGAAACCTCCAATTAAGACATGCATGTTCAAATCGGGTAAGTTGGAGATCACCCAATTTGTAAGTTGAATAACTCCTTTGTTTGAACTCTGATTCGGCTGATTCAACTTCTTGACGTCTTCTAGTGTGATGTTTGATGGAGCTCTGGTTCAGCCTCTTGTCCGATGACCACATCACAAAATAAGAAAGATATACGGTTAAGTCAGGATATCAAATCGAACAACAACATTCATATAACAGTTCTAATATTTTCTATGGTCTAGATTTAAAGAAATTACAGGCCCATACATGAAAGCTGAAATACTCTTCGAAATTAATAAATTTTATTTGGCAAGCCATATCAGGATGTCTTTCAATGTCAGCTAGAAGAATGAATTATGATACACAATGTGTAAGGTGTAGAGCAGAAGAGAAAATGACAATCGTATTCTTTTTAAATGTCCTCCAGCTTTTCAAACGTGAGCTTTATCCTATATATCCACGCTTTCAAGTGTTTTTTAATGTCATTGGTTTAGTTTTGATCATCTCTTTTAGAAACTTTCAAAAGAAAATCAGAATATATTTTCTTAGATTGTGTGGTATATTTAGAAAGCAAAAAATGACAAAATTTACTCAAACGTGGATAGAGACCAACAAGTAACACTGAAAATTTTGGAAACTAAGGCAGCAATTTGGGAAGCGGCACAAAGTAGTGATCAAGTTATGATACCCCATACTAATGTACTTTAGTGATTTTAAATTGCGAAGGATAGTGGTGTTATATTGATAGTTTTTGGAAAAAGACAGATACTTTTTTGGGAGTACGATGGTACTATTTTAAGAAATGTGTCAAAAAGATTACAAAACACTATAATGGAAGAAAAAAAATTACGACAAAATTTCTCCTTCTCTATATGCAAAATTAGAAGCACTCATATGAACCATGTTAGAATCCCACATCGGGAAATTAAACGGACTAACACTAATATATAAGGGACTTGGGCCTCTCCACTTATCGCCAATTGGTTTTAAGTTGGAAACCCAGGAAACTTAACATGGTATCAGAGCCTCGTTTGTTGACCCAATAAGGGTGGCCCAAAAAGAGTTTATTATCGGTCCTAAAGTGGGATTCGGTTCGAGATGGGCTGATAAGAGCTATCATTTCGAGGGGACGTGTTAGAATCCCACATCGGGAAATTAAAGGGACTAACACTAATATATAAAGGACTTGGGCTTCTGCACTTATCGCCAATTAGTTTTAAGTTGGAAACTCAGGAAACTTAACAGACCATGATTCCAAACAAGAAGACAGCGATAACAAATTATTCTAAGTTTGTGAGAAGGTGTCTACCCCCACGAGAGACCAACTTCTATATTACATTTGAAAGAATTTGTGAAAAGGAGAGATTCACTTTTTTAAGTGTCTCACTCATCCTACGCATAAACAACACAAAAAGTGTCTCACTCATCCTACGCATAAACAACACAACGGCAAGACAAGTTAGTACAAAGTGCTTGCATCTACCCTCTAAATATTAATCTAAACTTGAACTGTTGAAAAAAAAAAGCTCTTTGGAACGTCCACAAGAAACTGTTTCTTTTTTATTTAGTTAGAGCATATAAACACAATCACGGCTAGTTAGTACATGATAGTTTGTGTTGTTTACACATGAATAAAGTTTGTGTTGCAACATTAGAAATGGTGTAATGGTATTTCGCCGTCAAGATAGATACATAACCATTGGAGAAAGAGGATCTAAACCAGACAAAGATGCTTCCATTAGCAAAGAGAGATAGAGGCAAAACACCAAAAACAACAAAGATTCATCTCATGTAATGTTTCTCAAACCCAACTCTCTCAAGCATGCACTAATATCCATTTACAAAAAAAAAAAAAAAAGAAATATCCTCAGAGCAGTATATTTTTGTTTTTTTGGTGGATATTCTTGCAGAGTATGAAGATTTGGGTTTTAAGAGCCATCCATGGTAATATCACCGCTTGTTGTTGGCTTAGCCGGAGCTGCTCCAAATGTGAACTCTTGAGGAGGGATACTTGAAGCAGGAGATGAAAATATAGACGAAGTAGGAGCATTGTTGAACACAGGGACTTGCGGGGCTTGAATATTATTAACCTTAGGGAAACCAAACCCAAATGTTGGAGCATCGTTGATGTTCATCGCTGACATCATCCCATCTCTTGATCCGAATATCGTCTGCTCATACTCCTCCAGTTGTTGGTAGAACTCTGCGTGGAGAAGAAGAAGAAGAAAAAAAGCAAATAAGCAGAGAACTTTCAAGAAATGATCAAGTTTTCTCAATTGCTTAATCCTATTTAAAAGTGCAAGTTACTTGCCTGGAACTATGTCAGTTGTAGGTCTCCGTTGTTTAACCCACTGATGACTCTCGGCGAGTCTCCACCCTTTACGTTTCATCAAATACGCTATAACAACCGCTGGTGATCTGAAACGTAATCGAAATACATGAGGGATCAACACTAAATTAACTTCAAAAAGCTCCTAAATCTCTAGTAATAGAGGAAAAGACTCAAAAACGTCTTGATTGGTCTACGAGACAGAGTAAGTTACGAAACGAAAAGCAAGCCACAAATTTTTCCGAGTATATGACTATATAGTTGGAGTTAGATAATAAGTACGAGAATGATAAATGATACTCACCTGCTTTTCCCCGACATGCAGTGCACAAGAACACGTGCCTTCTCCTTCTCACATTGGTCTACACAGAAAACACAAGAGATGGATTAAACACAAAATAATAACAACAAAATTAAAAGATCAATGCTTATGAGCTAGAAATAGGAATCAAACCTAAGAACTGGATAGCATCATCAAATTGTAATACTTTTTCATCTGAAAGGCAATGATAAGTGAATGAGTTCCTGTAGAGATTCTGGCACATAGGAACGGTCTGTTCCAAACAGAAGAAAGAACCAAAACAAAAAGCAAAAGTCAACACCCCCGATAAGACAACATATTCCTTTGCACTTACCATAAACAGCAACCATAAGTGAAAGAAAGCAAAACCATATATGCTTTAAAAGATTTGAATTTGATGCTAATGTTCAGTATACAATCTCTAATGGGTCATCTCCAATCTCATATGGGCAATCTTTCAATTAACCAATTCAATAATCGATTAAAGACTAAACTAATTCAATGATTAGATTAAGATAAAAGCTAATCAGACGCAACTAATTCACAATCTCTAACTTAATTAAGCCAAAACCAATAATACGCAAAATCCTACAATCTCTGATGGGTCCAATGTTTCAACATACCAATTCAATAACTTGATTAAGACTAAATCAATTCAATGATTGGATTAAGATAAAAACCAATCATACACAACTAATTCACAATTTTAAACCTAATGAATCTAAAACCAATCATACGCAACTAAATTCACAATCTTTAACCTAAGTAAACTCAAGCCTTTTGAGAATTGAACAGAATAAAAAAAATCATTAAGAACTCACATTAAGAACGCGAGAAATTCCCTGAGTCTTGAGAAGCTCAGAGCGAGAGGCGTTGTCGTAGCTCCCGAGATAAAGAAACTCCGGCAAGATCTCCGTCGGAAAAGCGCTGACGTGGACTTGCGGAGCCGGCACGACGGAGGTATCCGGCATACGGTGGCCGCAGATTCCACAGACTTCTCCTTCCTCGTACTTATGGTAATGCCCACAAATTGAACAAGGGTTTTCTCTCTCTCTCTTCCTCATAATCAATTTTTTTTGCAGATTCTGATTCGGAATTCAGACCTAGATCCGATTACTGATCAAAACCCAAATCAGATTAGATTATCGAGGGGGTGAATTTAGGGTTTTGAGGGTTGAAGAAGAGGAAAGATTGGAAATTTTTTGAACGGAAGGAATCGGGAAGGAGGAAAGAGGGAGACTTGGGAAGTTTCTTTGGGTTTCTGTGAGAAAAGAGAATAAAATATTGCGACTTGTCTTCTTCTTTCTTCTTCTTCAATCTCCTATGTCTCTGAAAGATTTTTTAAGCCTAAATATAATTCGGATAGAAACATGCCACGTGGAGTTAGATTTGTGTCAATCCGTAACACTTGTGTAGTCCTAAGATACTGCGAGATCTAACTGAAGTCAATTATTTGTAAAATATACATTTCTTTTGCAGATTTTTACTTTTTTTTTTTTTATTTACAAGATCTTACAAACTTTTTTTTTCCTTTTCCTTTTGCTCAACAATATTTTTCTTTTTTCCTGTAAACAAAAATTTTATAGTCAATTAACCCAAAAGAACTAAGAAAGAAACATAATTACCAAAATGATAATAATGTGATAGAATGACTAAGTTATTGTTTGTGCTAGATTTCACATATGAAATCCAACCCTAACCTGTAACATTTTGTTTGACGTGATTATATCTGTATTCGATCTCGGCTGAAAGTGAAAATTAAAGAAACATATCCTCTGGTCGGTTTAGTCGGTATGGATAATATGTAGTTTGCACATGTCTTTTTCTCTTCTCATAAAAATATCGATTTTTACAGACCAACGGAATTGAAGTACCAACCCGGTTCACTTTTGGACAGGTATAAAGGCCTTTTACAAGTCATCAAAAACACACAACAACTTGTGAACTCATTTGTCTCCAACAGCTGCCACCATAATATTGTCATGAAGCAGTTTAGTTAACGAATTAGAGAAAACGACGATATCATATAAGTTGTTGATTATGGGTTTTAACGGAATCTGTTCTGTTTATTTAGTTCGATCAACCAAAATTCAAGATTTTAATTTAAAGTTAATGAAACTAATAATTCCAAATGTTTATGTAATAGTTCATGCTTTAAATGGCCTGAATCGTGAACACCGTATTTAGTTATGTTGTTGTTTGTTCTCCTCTTTGTGGATGTTGCTTTTAGATCTTGTTTTTTCATTGCCGTTTCGTCCTCTCGTCTGGTTGTGTTTAGAGGATGGCCAAGTCTTTTTAGGGCTCGTCACTTGGATGATATCTTGTTGCGGAGGTATCTACTAGTTCTTCTCTAAAGTCTTCTCAGATTGTGGAGATGGGTTCAAATCGTCGCAGTGGTTTCTATCTTCCATTCTTCTCTTGCGTGGAGGTAACCGTTCATTTTTCTGTAAGTGGCTTTGGACAGGTCTACAAATATCATCTTTGGTGTGTCCTCATTCTACGAGTATCCTCTTTGGTGTGTCCTCTTGCATGAATCAGTCTGGTTTACGAAAATTTGCACGAATTAACAATCAAATGTCTGGTTATTTATTTGATTGGCTAAACCATCGGTAAAGTAAACAATCGAACCGGTTTTCTCTGTCTTCCTCAACTGGAAAATTCCCGATTCTCCTCCTCGTCGTTTCAGAAAAGCTCCTCTCTATCGCGGCCGGTAAGTGGGTTCGTGCTCTGAAATGGCGACCTCTTTACTTCGGAGAAACTTGAACCCAAGTCGACTCTTCTCGAGCCGCTTCTTCTCTTCTTCTCCTTCACATCGCCGTGTTGTTGTCACTGGTCTCCTTTTCCTTCAAAATTTCCACTGTCTTCACACATGCTTTTAATTCCTCTGATTAAACTTTGTGACCTTCAGGTCTAGGCATGGTTACTCCGCTTGGTCGAGGCGTTGAGACAACATGGAGGCGTTTAATTGATGGAGAATGTGGGATTAGAGGATTGATTCCTGATGATCTCAAGATGAAATCTTTTGATGAAGAGACAAAGTTGTATACTTTTGATCAGCTTTCCTCCAAAGTTGCCGCTTTTGTGCCATATGGATCAAACCCAGGTGAATTTGATGAGTGCCTTTGGCTAAACTCCAAGGTATTTTAGCTCTTTCTTTTTTATTCTCTAACTAACTGGCTTTGAAGGTTATTAGGACATAATGACTAGGAACACAATCAAATGTCATGTCATAACATAAAGGTTTTAGATTATCTTGTTGTAAATTTTGTTAGGAGCATCTATGTGGTTTTTGTTGTTGCTCAGTTTCTGTCTTTTGGAAGCTTGATATTGTCCGTGCGTAAATTTCTCATTTATGCTTCTCTATTAAACTGGCTTTGAAGGTTAGAACCTAATGACTAGGAACACCGTCAAATGTCATGTCACATCAACAAGTTTTTGGATTTATCTTTTGTAAATTTTGTTAGGAGCATTGCTTATTGCTCTGAAGGGTGATATGGTTTTGTAGCTGCTCAATTTGTGTCTTTTGGAAGCTTGATATTGTTTGTCAGATATTGCATAAATTTAAAGGTTCTATTATCATGCATTTTGGACCCTGGAGGCAATTGCGAATTTTATCGGATATGCTTTATGTGCTGCTGATGAAGCTTTGAGAGATGCAGAGTGGTTACCAACTGAAGAGGAAGATAAAGAAAGAACAGTTAAGCGTTCATCACATGTACATCGTTATATCTGCTTTTTTACTCTGTTTTTTCTATAATTTTGAAAATTTCGGAACATCAGGGAGTCTCTATTGGTGGTGGAATCGGAAGTATAAGTGACATTGTGGAGGCAGCGCAGATGATTTGTGAAAAGGTCAGTCATTTCAATTGTCTATGTATCATTTTCTCAGGAATTACAGACTTTTTGTGCATCCCTTTCGCTTGTAAGACTTAACAATTATGGTGATGCAGAGGCTGAGGCGGCTTAGTCCGTTTTTCATCCCAAAAATATTGGTAAACATGGCGTCTGGTCACGTTAGCATGAAGTATGGATTCCAGGTGTGTTGAGTTTGTCATTTCTGCTCCATTACTTGTTATAGTTCTCCAGTTTTTCGTAAGTAGAAAGCCGCTTGCATAGCATTGTCATGCTTTTGAATATAGGGGCCAAACCATGCTGCTGTGACAGCTTGCGCAACTGGTGCACACTCTATAGGCGATGCCACTAGGATGATTCAATTTGGAGATGCAGATGTTATGGTGGCAGGTGGAACTGAGTCAAGCATTGATGCTCTGTCTGTTGCTGGATTCGCTAGGTAACTAATTCTTGGTATCACACACTTTGTGTGCTTATATGTAAAACTATAAATTCTGGAAGAAAAGACATATCATATATCAATAATTTCTCATTGTGTCCAGATCAAGAGCGTTGTCAACTAAGTTCAATTCTTCTCCGCAAGAAGCTTCACGGCCTTTTGATTGTGACCGGGATGGTTTTGTGTGAGTTACATCACATCCTTCGTTGTTTATGCGAAAGAACCTGTTTTGGAGATTTTGATTCCATCCATTTTGATTTGGTTGCAGGATAGGGGAAGGCTCAGGGGTTATAGTATTGGAGGTGAGACTCTGGAGCGTTTGATAGTCATTGGTTTTAATCTAAAACCTTCTATGATATTTGGTTATAATAATAGGAACTTGAGCATGCAAAAAGACGCGGTGCCAAAATTTATGCTGAGCTTTGTGGATATGGGATGTCAGGTTAAAACTCATATATAATAGTAAAAGTACACTTTGGCATCAAATAAGACACATTTTGAATTCCCTAACAATGTTCTTCATACTTAGGCGATGCACACCATATTACTCAACCTCCTGAAGATGGAAAGGGAGCTGTTTTGGCCATGACACGTGCCTTACATCAGGTACGCTCCATATTGTTTTAACATCGGCCATGGTTAAATGCATAGTTGTTGTTATGGTACTCGTAGAATGGTTTCTGTTGATTATCATTTATGATTTTGCTTTTAAGTAGTTTGATGAATTCTAGTGATTTGGTTTGAATGCTCATGACTTTGCAGTCTTGTCTGTCTCCAAACCAAGTTGATTATGTAAACGCACATGCAACATCAACCCCAATAGGTAAAAGAAAAAGATTGACACTTCTTGTTGGTTCTCTTTGGTATTTACAAAAACTCAATTGATAATTCTGTTAACAAAATCTAATCCGTAGGCGATGCCGTGGAAGCAAAGGCTATCAAGACTGTTTTCTCTGAACATGCAACTTCAGGCACCTTGGCATTCTCCTCCACCAAGGTAATAATGCCTGATGATATTACCGAACAGCTTGACTTATAGTAACTACGTGTCTGCAAACATATCAGAGAGAGGTCACTTAATAAACTCTTTCCCTGTTTGACTGAAGGGAGCTACTGGTCATCTTCTTGGGGCAGCTGGAGCTGTGGAAGCTATTTTCACCATCCTTGCTATACATCACGTAAGCATTCTTCTCATTTAGTCTGGTGTTCTTTGTTTGATGATTGAGGGTTTGTAACTTAACCAGAACCTGCAAAAAACTTTGTAGGGGGTTGCTCCTCTGACGCTGAATGTCAAGAATCCAGATCCCATCTTCGACCAAAGTTTCATGCCGTTAACCACTTCGAAAAAGATGCTAGTTAAAATCGCAATGTCGAATTCTTTTGGCTTTGGTGGAACAAATGCATCTTTGCTCTTTACCTCTATGTAAAGTTGTAGTAGGTCAAAAGTTTTGAACCGAGCATAGAAAAAAATTCTTTTTCATTTCACTCTTTGTCAACTTACATTAGCAAATCTCTACAAAATTACAGATAAAGATGTTCTGCTTGCAATATCCTTGAGCTCTTTTAAGAATATTTTGACCTGAAACCTTCTGTAAGAGGAATAACTTTTGCAGACACTTTTGATTGCAACTTAAGCACAGCTTCTCGAATTTCCTGCCCATTGCAACCAGAAGCATATGGTAACAATACATGATAAGGGATATCAACAATTTACTAAAGAGACGAAATCAAATGAAACAACCACCTCTATGTGGTAACGTGATGAGAAATGCGTCAATAATATAGTTTTGCTCCGGATCCACTTTGCATTCTCAATGATCTGCAGTGGAAAATCCCTTTTAAAGTGTAATTCCACGAGTTTTTTGAACATAAATAGGATCATACCTGAGATATATGAGTGTGACCGAGTGCCTGCGCATGCTCAGTGCTGAAACTTTCATCCAAGAACGTTGCCTGCCAGAACAATTAAGCTCAGAAGCTAGAATGAGAATCCAGTGAAGTTTTGAAAAACTTTTGAGAATC